TGTTCCACATCCTTAGTAAACCTTGATAAGTCTGCCTTTTTGATTTAGTCATTCTGGTGGGTGTGAAGTGGTATTGCGGTTTGATTTAAATTTGCATCTCCCTGACTACTAGGGAAATTGAAGGCTCTCTAGTTTCTTATATCCTGTTTTTTTTTTTTAATATGGAGATTTGTCTTAAAATATCTTTGCCAATCTACTTACCTCATACATCACTAATGTTACCTTTCTGACATCCTTTATGCTAATTAACAAGCTATGGGTTTCCTTAAGAATCCTTTTCTAGCATTCTTCATGCTAATAACAAAACCCCCAGGAGTGGATGGGAGTTAAAAGAGAGCTGAAGCACCTTCTGAATAAACACTGTCTATTTATTCAATCAGCTGCCCATCCCTGGAGGGTGTATTCCTGATTAGGACAGCTGATCACCCTTCAGGTCTAGCTTAAGGCATACCACACAAGTTGTGTCACTGTCTAGGCTAAAGAACTTCAAAGTGAAAAACAGACTTCATGATGTGGCTTCTACGCTTTCTTTTCACTCCATCTCTCTGTCACTGTAAGCACTATGACGACGCATGCTTTGTGGTTCAGTAATTTTACTGCATGGAGATCTTCAGGCTTCTGGTAATCTGAGCACTGGACTGTACTCAGGTGCAAGGAAATAGAGAAGGACCAGTCTTCCCAGAGATTCCCTCTGCAAGAAATCCGTTAGACCTGCCGTTTCTCGGCTCGGCGGCAAAGCCACACAGACAGGCTTTCCTCAAGGAGCTCCGGAGCCACCTAACAACCCTTGTCAGGGACCAGTGGCCATGGCGGCTTTCCTGGAATAGGCATGGCAGTGCTTGGCTTCCTCTCCCAGAACATGGTTGGGATTGAGGGAAGAGGTTCCAAACCAGGGACTCTGATCAGCCATTGACCTTTCTTATCGCTTCTGTGTGACTTGTGGAGCACACAGATTTTGGGAGGATGGATTTCCTCATCTCCAGGACTTTGGAGCTGTCTCTTCTGGACCACTAGACAAGGGAGGCGTAGACTGGTCATATTTCGTTCACTGAAATGCTTGGAGGTGTCTTCTGACCTTCTAAGAACAGCATCTTTTAATTCAGTTCTTTTTTAATTTAAACTCAGACACACTGGTGGGAAGCTTGTTTCTCCTGGGATGGTCACTTACTTAGAAACAGCTGCCTGATCCAGAGAGAAAAATAGATAAATACAACCTTCTTCTTGGAGTGGGTCTGGAGGTCCATGCTTACATCTCCAGGTAGGCAGACGATGTTGCTGGTGGGGGTGGGAGAGGGGACTGAGAGGCGAGTACCTTCAGGATGACATAGCAAAGTCATGGGAGGGCTTTTGAAGTGATTGTAAGGGCTGAAAGGGTGATAAGTTAGTCCATCTCCTTAGGATGGCCTGAGGATGACAAATTGTAAAACTGCAATCATGCCCATAGCTCTTAAGAAACAGGGAGTTCTGGTTACTTGAAATTTCTGGTGTACTCTAGAGCATCCTTTTGGGTTTCAAACATTCTTGAAAATTCTATGCTGGAGAAAGAAGCGGAGGAGCCTAGCAGGAGCAGTGCAACATGAGTGGAGTGTGAGAAAGGAGCCCCAGCGTGAAGGAGGAACCTGGAGAGCTCAGAGTCACTGTGATGGCCATGAACGCTGGTTGAGTGGCAGGGAGGGTGCAAGCCAAGCATGGAGCCCCACTGGCTAGCCCGTGCTCCAGGCCCAGCCTCCAAGGGGCTCCCAGCCTCACATGGGTTTCTAGGGCTCCCAAGGCCTAAAGTTCTGAGCAGCCGGTCAGAAACTGAGTCCTGAAGAGGCTTGAATGGGTTGCAAGGAGATCCAGCATTTGCTTCTCTAGAAAGATGAAAACGAAGTGCTCCTGTGTTGCTTGCCCAACTGCTGGCACTCCAGGGCAGCTCCACACCCAGACAGCCCAGAGCCACACCCAGTCTGCTCAGGCGCCCTCCACGCCTCTGGCTGGCAGTCCCCGAAACAGAGGCCAGGCAGGGGTGGGCGCTGGGCATTGCCAATATGGTCGTGTGCATCCTTTGTGCGTCTTCAAAGGGTAAGAGAAAAGCTGAAACCACATCTAGGTTTGGGAATGTGGAATCCCTAATGTCTAAAAGGCAGTAAGCTTCACTAGTGCCACCCTGACACTCACCAAGGAGATAAAAATGTTCCTCAGGACTGAGAAAGAAGATTTAACGTCATTGTATTTATTAGGTTCCGAAACAATACACATTCACATCCTTTTGAATACAGTACATTTGGCACAATAATGTTTACAATGAAATAACACTAATGAATGGCAAGAGATTAAAATTACATCCAGAAAGGGAAAAAATGTACAAATAAAGCATCACAATACAAAAAAAATCCCTAAAATTGAATACATTTTATATTTAGCCAGAATTATTTTGCACATAATTTAAAAAGAGGTAATTTTTTTAGCCTTGTTTTTTTTTTTTTTTTTTTTTTTAAAGCAAGAATGCATTGTGTTTTCACCTTTGGAGGAAAAAAAAAAATGTTTCCACTTCACAAAGTCCATTATGAGAGAACACAGGAGAACAGCTATCCTTCATATATTTTTTTGGCATTTTTTTGCACTCCCGTCCCCCGTTTTTTCTTAAAAAAAAAAAAAAAAAAAAAAGTGAGTGAGCGACCTGGAAAGATTAGAAAGAACTGGCAGAAATGAAACAGTGTGTCTGCTTCCAAACTCTTGTGAAAGCTAAAATGAAACAATGACTACTCACGGAACACACAAGCCTTATTCTATAGACTACGTGGGATTTGAATCTGCCTGTGTGAGAACTTGATGAGCTCCAGCCCCAAACAGGAGGCATCCCAGCCAGCCCAGCTTTGGGGGCTGGAAGGGGGCATCTCTGGGCCAGGCAACCCGCTGAGTGGCTGCCTGGAGCTGCCTGGTGGAATGTATTATTATTTGACTTCCCAACAAAAATGCCAGTTGTCCTTTAGGAAGGCCCAACCCCTGCTGACATGGGAATACCTTGGACAAGGCCAGTTGGCATTATAGTTAGAGTTTGCTTGGTGTTTCAAAGTCCATCAGGGTGAAGGAAGCAGAGGAGAAAACAGAGAGCAGTGGTGATGCATGAGTAAGATGGGCAGTATTGTCATGTCTTCCTAAAGAATGAGATGATGCCACCATGAAGATGTTTCTGTGCTTGTCCTCAACTCCAGAAGACAGTCTCTCCCCAGTACGTCAAGTTACCGAAGATCAATTAACCTACTGTTCTTCATCTCTTCACTGGTATGCCAAACACACAAATTGATACAGCATAATATTTGAAATTATCATAAGAACAGTTAATAATTACACCTGAGTTTTTAAAAAAAATCAAAACAAAAGAGAACTGAATGGCATCACTAGTAACCAAGGCTACGTGACTAGCCAGATACACATATGGACACCAGCTAATGGGCCGCAGCTAGTCACTGACCAAACTTCGAAACCACCATCCAGAACATTCCTTTCTCTTTCCCATCTCTATCAGGGCATAACAGAGCGCAGGAGAACTATATGTGAGTTTACATCTTTTAAAATAAACCAAAATGAAACAAACAATACAAAGAACACCCCTCACCCCCCCGAGAAAAAAAAAGAAAGAAGGAAACACACCTTATCTCTCGGTAACTTGAACCAATACACTCAGAGAGTATTGCACCTGGACATTATTATAATTATTCTTTCATAGACTAAAGTTTTATAATATGTCTGAACATGCAGCAGTTGATACCTCTAAATTCAATGAATTAATTCCACAGGCCTTGCAGCAAACACTATATACAAAAGTCTCAAATGTACAAAAGGCAAAAAGCTTCATTAATGCCACTTTGCCACTCACAAGTATATATATTTAGGGGCAGCTGGGAAATCCACGTGCAACAGTTGGAATGGATTCCATTCCCTGCTAAATCGGTTCAGTAAAATAGATAATCAAACGACCTCCAGGAAACATGTACACAAAGCCACAGAGAACCCTTGGAAATCAAAGAATGTAACACTGTTAGCATATCTACAGGAGGTAATGTCACATCCATTAAATAGTGTCCACATGAGTCGCCATTCCATGTCACACAGAAACAAAACTCCGAGCGCATCTTGCCACCCTGTCAGTTTTCAAATAAGTCGCTCTTCAATCTCCCGATACCCTCTGCATAACCCATGTTTAGCCTCATTCTGCATGTTCCAAAAGCAGATATTTCATATTTAACTTTACACGTTTCATGTTTAAAAACCACAACACAGTAGTACTACCATTTGGGAGAAGTGCGCAGAAATTGCACACTGCTGCAGAAAATAAATAGAGTTGATGCTGGGGACTTAGGACGAAACTGGAAAGAGAATTTGGGAGGTGAGTTTTGCTAGAACCCCAGGGCCTCGGCCATCTCTGCGGTGGCCTTGGAGTTCAGGCAGAACTTGAATAACGAAGAGCACTACTAGTTTCCTTTTCTCTCAATTCACAGAGCCTCACGTGCCACGAAAGCATTAAGAGCATAAACCTTGGACGATGATTTATTAGCCCTTTAATATATACCTGTATTAACACTGGAATTTATATCTTTTGGCCAATTAGAAAGCAAATCTGATCATCTATTTTTCAAATGTTAATCGAGTTCAAAATCAAATTTCTTCTTCTACGGAGAGCGATTTCTTCCACGAGACACATGCTTACACAACTTTGGCATGCCCCGAAGCTCAAACCAAAGCAAGCGAGAATTAGCCATTCCAGAGCAAACCAACACAGGGAGCCAACCCGGGCATCTCCCAGCCTCTCTCCTTCCTGGGCGTGCCTTGAGGGCGCCCATCTTCGGGCTGAAGAAGCACCAGTCTCTTCTACTGGATAGAATGGCAGATGGTGGCAGGCGGGGGGGACTGGAGGGATGAGAAGCAAGAGTTGTCAGGACTCTGCGTCCATGAGCAGAGCCAGAGTCTCGTTAGCTTTTTTTTTTTGTTTTTTTGTTTTTTCCTTTTCTTTTCAGTAAAAGGCCTGAAGTCGCTTCCCTGCCAGAAGCCCCCGTGGAGTGAAGCCAGGCTTGCCAACGGACCAGACTTGGCACTGGGTCCAGTGAACTGCTGACGCCACACGATTCTGCATTACTGGTGAGACAGGAACCAAGAGTGCCTTCTGGTCACCAGGTGGGAAGAGGGAGGAGCTGGCCTGGGGGGAGGGAATGCAATAAATAGAGGGTGGACAAGGGACTGGGGCTCCGGGGAGGAGAAGTAGTTCAAGACCGTCCTACGGGAAAATAGGAATCTTCCCAGCGCCCCTGCTTGCAGCATCACCGAACTCCACCTGGAGCGGCTTCTCAGGGCATCAGGTCTTCACCAAAGTAGGAGAAGCCTTTGAATTCCTCCTGGTTGATCTGCTTCACAATCGCTTCGTCCACGAGCGTGAGTACCGGCTCTTCCCGGGTAAAGTCTTGGTCAAAATTATTGACGTCTCTTTTGGTTTTCTGTGGGAAGATAAGAGAAAGCACTGACTCCAGGCTGACCTTCCTCCCCAGGGCCCCCCGCAGGGAGTGGGCATCGCGCTGACCAGCCTCTCGCCAAAGCAGACCTCTAGCTACTGAGAGCAGACATCGAGCTGTTCCAATGAGGTAACGATGAATGGCCCCAGGACCGGGAGGTGATGGAGGACTTGGAGAGGAAGAATGAGTCCAGGTGAGAAGGAAGACGGGGTGAGAGGTATGATGGAAAAGCAGGGAAGTGGGATTCCCATAGACTGTGTGTGTGGGGTGGAGTGTGTGTGTGCATGTCTGTGTGTGTGTTGCGGACACTCCCCCTTCCAGCACCTGCCCTAACCCTCTGGCTCCACTGAGACCTCCCTTCCTGTGATCCAGGAAGTGAACTTGAATCTCCCTCCCACAAGGTCTCCAGTGGTCTTTCTTCCATAAAGGTAAACCCCCCATTACCTTGCCATGTCTGCTCCAGATGTCATCTTCTCTATAAGTAGGAGGATGCATGGGATGGGGGGTGGGACCGTCTTCTGGGAAGCCTCCCTTGATCCTCACCTGCTATTCTGTGTTCCCACGTTATTTCTATTATTATACTCAAGACACTGACTTGCAGTGAATTGTTAATGCTTTTGTCCTGACCACGAGCTCCTTAAAGGCGGAATCCTTGTCTGACTCAGCCTTGGGTCCCCAGCAGTCCCCTGCACTAAGCATCTACTGAATGAGTGAATACATCAGCAAGCCCACCACTGACTTCCCAGCTCAGAAAGACCCATACCCAGCTGGAGGTTCAAGTTACCAAAATTGGGCTTATGGTCTGTGGAGGGTGGAGGGCATCAATCAAACAAGTCCTGGGTTTTGGAGAAAATCAGCAAGTATGAATAATGCTCTCTGCCTTCGGGGGTTCACTGCTGAATCGGGAATCAGTACTCCTGTCTAGAACACACTGCAATCGTTAGAAAAACTTTCATGGAGTAGTCGGGGCCCGGCTGAGACTTGAAGCATGAGTTACAATCATGTCGGTAGAGACGGGAGGAAGGCACCTTGGCAGAGAGGAAGGTGGTTAGGAAGATGGGAGCAAAGTTCTGCAGAACATCGTCTGGGAAGTGCTGTTTTACAGTTTACAGCATCTTCACGTTTATTTGCTCACTGATCCTTGGAAAAGGCAGGTGTCATTATCCTGATTTTACAGATGTGGAAACCGTGGCTCACAAAGGTTTGGTGACTTGCCCAGAGTCACCCAATGAGTTCAGAGCAGAGCCAGACTCAAATCCAGCTCTCAGCACGATGCCTCCCGTGGTGCAGAACGTCTGGAAAGCTGGGTACTGGAGACGTGGGAAGACACGGCAAGAGTCAAATTCAAACAGGAGACGTTTAGGTCAAACCACTAGGCTGAAGCAAAGCCAGAACGACTTGCGGGTAAGCCAGCATGGTGGGAGAGGTCTGTGGGCTGGGGAGAGTGGTGACATGGTGAGGTGAGCTTGGCAGGGGAGTCTGTTTTCACATTTCCCCAGATTGAGATCTGAATCAGATGGACAGCACAGAGCGGAGATGAGCTAGTCTCTCCCATCTTTCAGCACCCATCAGTCCTGCTTGGCGTCTTCTCTCTGGCTTTGAGCTGCATAGTTCAGTAGGTCTCAGAGACCTTGGAGGGGAGACAAAAGGGGGACACAGAAAAGCCCCAGGGATGGAAATAGGACTTGCCGCAGCAGGATGTGTGTGTCGCCCCTTGAGATGGGAAAACCGAGGAATGGCTTAGTCTTTTCTACAGGAGGGCTGGTCCCAGGCAAGAGGATGACGCGTTCTCCATCTCCAGTGTGTACAGAGCACGAGGAAAAGGGGGGCCCTCATGGAGAGGAACTCCGGAGGAGAACCACAGAGCCCAAACCCAAGTGACGCATGAGGGACGTGGGAGGGCAGGTGCCTGGGGAAAGGGTGTGGTGACGCCTCTTCTGAAGATCCCTATCGAAGGAGGGATGGGTTCACTTTGATTGAAGAGGGGTTATAGAGTATGGGCCCGTGGTGCTGGGGGAGCAGCAGGATGGGGAAAAGGTGGCAGCAAGACTTTAAGACTTGGGAAGCGCTGAGTATCATCCCAGAAGGCGACCAAGGGGCATCCTCAGTGGGGGCAGGAGGAGAGGGGGACCAGGGGCGGGAGTTGGTGAAGAAGATTGGCAAGGAATAGGGCAGGAGGGAAACTCAATCGGTAACACCACCAATGGTGGGCTACGCCCAGGTACTTTCAGGGGCAGGACCACTTCCTTCCTGGCTCCCTCTCACTGGTCACTAATGGGGGAGGGGAGCCAGTGTATAGAGAACCTCAGGAAACCTGTAAACACTCTGGCATCGGCTCCCCTGTTTAACTACTTGTGCTTCACCTTTCAATTGTTTGTGTCCATTAGTCATGGAAACTGGTTTCCTCTCCTGAGGTCAAATGAGCATAGTGACGGAGCTAGATTCCACAGGATGTCTGAATGTCCCAACTTGCTGACTGCTTACCAGGGAATCGGGCTCAGTCAATACAGCTAGGGACGTCATTCCCAGAGGGCCTCTAGCTCCATGGCGGGCTGGCTTGGGTAGCAATCTAGCTCAGCTCTGGGCTTTCCAGTGGTCCCAGAATCATCTGTGGCATTGGAGCGAGTGTGCCATTCTTCAAGAGCTCTACAGAAGAACACACGTGGCTCACGCACCCCTTACGCAACCCGGCCCAGGCCCTAGTTCCCTTGGAGACAGCTTAGGTGCATGTCAGTCACTCATTCCCAATTCAAATAACTAACAATTCCTGACTATGAATTAACCTTAGAGGCTTAGGGAGTTTTCCAAAGCAAGTATTTCTGAGAAACTCCATCCCCTGTTAATACCATTGGAGGCAGCATAGCATCCTCAAATTTAGAGAGGACTGGGGATTTTGTCCTATACTCACTGGTCTTACTCTTTGGAAAGCTGCTGTCTCCCTTATAGAGTTGGCACGAGACTCCACTCCAAGGTTCCGATGGGCAAACTCCTAGAGACACTCCCTGTTTAACTGGGTCTTTAGTCACCCCATGTGCCTCTCCTAATATCTAAATGCCCGACTCTCGGCCCCCACCGCACAGCCTGAGAGGTGACACTGGGACAGTGGAACAGCCTTCTAACTCTTCGCACCTCGTCTCCTCCATTAAGTCCTTCCCACATCCTCTGACCCACACGGAAGGAAGGCTGAATGCAGGAGAAAGAGCACTGGCTGACCTCCCATCCTGGTTAGATGACACTGTGAAGGTCACCTCTTTGAGCCTTGGTCTTTTCATCTGTAACATGGGGGTGGTCACAGGTGCCCTACAGATTGCCTTGAGGACTAAATGAGATGCCAGATGTGAGGTGCCTCCGTGCGGACCCCAACACACAATGGGCACCCAATAAATGTGGGATCCTACCCTGCCTCCGAGTCTTAGCACCGTGTGCCGTGGCCATGGCTGTGTTCCCCAGCACAGCCCATGTGATCTGCCCACGGGTGCCGTGAGCTTCGTGAGGGCAGGGCCTGAGCCCACAGTTCTCTGGATGCTTTCAAATCCTGAACTAGTGCTGAGCCAGGGCCTGCCTGAACATCCCGTGCTTCCTCCAGCCACTGAGATTCTTCCAACGGTGGCTTACTGCTCTCGGAAAAAGCCCCAGTTTCTTACTCACTTCTAAGGCCCTCTGGGATCTCGTGCCTGTCCACTTGCCCAGCTTCATCTCCCGGGCCCGGGGGAACCACGAAGTCCTCTGGACTCATTGGCTTTGCTCCTGCAACCGAGTCTTTTTTCAGCTAGTCCTCGGCCCGGGGCACCCTCTCCCCTCCTTGCCTCCTGCCCCGTCTTCATCACCGAGCTGACTTCTGCTCACCTTCCCATCTTGGCTCAGATGCCCTGCTTTCAGGAAGCCTTCTCTGTCCCTCCAGGCCCCTTAGGGGGGTTCTATCACCTCTCCTAACTCTCATCACGGCACTTACCACCCTGGGTGTCCGCCTCCTTTTGCAACTAATCTGTGCGCTCCTGGGGGCAGGGACTGGGTTGAACCCGCCATTCCATCCCCGGGATGGCGTACTGCCTGGCACGTAGAAAGCGCTCAAGAAATATCAGAGGAAAAAAATAATCGAATGCACGTCTCTTGCTGCTGCTTTATGTAGAGCCACTGAAGTGATCTGGGTTCAGAACCTGTGGCACTCTTGTGCCAGAGGGTGTTTTTGTTTGGAGAAGGTTGAGGTCTGTCTCACGAAGAGCCTGGAGCAGGGCACCCCAGCCCATGGCTGCCCCACAGCGCCCTGAGAGACAGGCAGGCTTAGGGCTGGTTAATGGGGTTTCCTCTCCCTGCAGTGGTCAGCCTGGGCCACTAGGGTTCCTTGACTGCTGGTCTGAGAAAGAAAGAGGATGAACCAGGGTTTGGGCAAATTCTACCAAGACAGATGGGCTAAGAGAAGTTTACGGACTTGGTGGGTATTTGCAGTTGGTGTCAGGGGAGAACAACATTCCTCTTCCCTTTGGCTTCACTGAGAAGTGAGGTCTTGGATTTGAGGTCTGGGGCCGACCCTGGGGGGAGGGCACACTTCTGGCATCTGCAGCAGGGGAGTGAGGTAGAACTATGGAAACAGAGTTACAGGTCACTCCAGATGCCTCTGAGAAACTGCATTTGAGAGGCAAAGGTAGGGGACCTGCCTTTTAAGTCGCCCTGAGGCCACTGAGGGCCGGAGGCTCAGCCGACTGTGGCAGTGTCTGGACCCCAGTGCGGACACGGGCAGGCTGCCTGTATGCTCGCTTCCTGTCTGGCTGGCGCAATTCTTTCATAGCCCTCACTGAACTGAAGTCATAAATACAAGCGTTCAGAGGAGCCAGCGATTTCTGCTTCTGTCTTTATCTGATTACGAGATCAACAGATGACTTTGTTCTAAAGCACTGAGGGCCGGGGCACGGGCCTGTAGTCACCGTGCTGGTCCCACACCGCCTCTTCATCTGTGCTTGGCGTGACAGCAAGGGCATAGGCAGTAGACTGACCACAAGCCAGGGTCCCCGGACCCATGTGTGTGACCGTAACTTTCTGGGGAGACATGCTGTCTCCACGTGGTCTCCAAAAATCCAGCTTTCAGGTTCCACCTCCCTCTTGAGTCTCCGACTCCAGCCTCCCTCCTGCAGTCCCCCACGGCAGTCCCTGGAACATGCATTTGCTCCCTCCTTGTCATGTTTTTATGTGTGTCACATTTTCCTCTCGTATCCCTCGAGGTACCTACTGCAAAGCAGGGCACACAGCAATCCCTTAATATTCATTTGCTCAAAATCCTGTTATTCGCGCAACAGTCAAACTCAAGATTCCTCTTAGCTCTGAAATGTCAATATTCTTATCTAAGCTCTTTCTTCTTTTAAATATCTTCAAAGAAAAAGGGAGAATTTAAATAATGAGAATGCTTGCTTAACATCAGTTAACTGGGTCTTTACATATACACATATATTCATTATACCCACATATTGACAAAGTACACGTGCATATGCTTATACACACACGCTCACCCATGACGTTAAATGAAATGAGAAACGTATAACTGCATAGCTGTTTTGCCTGACAAAAACGAGGGTTGGAACAGAAATTCAAGTCAACTATCATTTGCCTAGAAATTTCTCTCAACATATTCTTCTATCCCTTTCCCCCCCTTTTAATTTTGTTAACCAAGAATTGATCATACTTTTGGATTTTCCCTATATAGAAAACAGAGCGAGACACATTGAGGGTTTGTCTAGGCTGCCAGTGGAAGCTTTCACAGCAACTCTCTTGCCATGGTGGTGCCCTACCATGTTTTAATCCATTTCCTTCTTAGAATGTGGTGGCCAGAACTGATGGCTCGATCCCTGACTCCGTGGTCTGAGCAATGCCAGGGGAAGTGGCATGACCCTCTACCCGGTGGAAACTCTCAAATTAAATCAATGTCTAAGACGGTGTCACTGTTCTATCATTTCTGAGGTAACTGTGATAAAACAGTGACACTCTTACAGTTTTATCAACCCAATTTAACCTTGTTATGTATTGAACTGTGTCTCCC